TTGATTACTTTATAATAAAAATAGAAAGTATACGATGGCAGAAGGAACTAACGCGGTGCATTGCGCTGCGCTTCCGGTTTCGGAATGAGTTAACGAATTTGGACGAGGAAGCGGACAATGCTCGGGCTGATAATCAAGCGGCGGACGGGCCAATGAGAGCATTAACGAGGGACAACAACGTCAAATGAAAAAGTCCTTGTGATACGGCACTTTTCCGCAGACATGCGGCGATAATTGATGATTTAATAGAGATGAAAATGACAGCGAATCATTTAGGGTGGGCGCGATAGATATGTATGCAATTTGCTTGTAAACGTATTAATTATATAATTGAGATGACGATTCAAACTTAAAGGGATCATTAATACCTCCTTTATATCACACATCGAATATTGTGATCTCCAATAATTGTCTTTATCAAATGCTCTCCAAATTTGCAACGCAATGATTGCTAATCTCACGAATGGAGTAACGTAAGTTTCCCTGCTAATATTAAACAAATGTTGAAAATTGCTTTATAAATGGAGAAATTTAATATTGTGATTTTAACAAAAATAATATCATTAAAAGATTCATTAAAGTATGTATTATCCGTGAAAGATCGTATTTTTTAAATAATTTTTATATAAAAACATACAACATTTAAATATTTCTAATATATGAATTATATTAAAAATCGCGAAACACACATATAACAAAATTCTTAAAAAAATTTTAAATTAACATTCTGTCGAATTTTCACAGTGTCATTCCATTTTTAATGTCTAACTTTTCAAGTGAAACATATTTAACACATGAATACTTTTGGCTTGGAATTGACATCGTATCAAAAATACATTTTTCACTTGTCAGTGAAAGGCGAATAAAACAAATCGATTTTAAAATAGAACAAAACGTTTTCCGCGCAAAATATTTTAATATTTTGTCAATACAAAAATGAAATGCAATGCTTGACTTATCGTTAAATAAGAATGTCTATTAAATATTTGAAAATTATTTCTTGTCTTCAAACACATTCATCAATGCAGGTGTAAAAAAGTTTGTAAAAGAAGTTGAACTTTGAATCAATTGATATTGTGTGAAATGTTTTCAGAAAGATGTCCCACACATCTGTGCATATAATATATCTATTTTAATAACATCATCAAAAAATCAGCTCTTTTGTTTTGTCAAAGAATTTGTCATCAAAATTACATCTACATATGTCATTTTATTGACAAATTCATTACATGTAACATCATGACTATTGTTCCTTGCATGGTAGATATACCACTTATGTAACAAAATTATTTTATTAAATAATTTTTCTTCAAATATTATTATTTGCAATACGCCTAATTAATCGATTGAAATATTTCCATGAAAGAACTATAATGAAAAACAAATAAATTCCGATCAATGTCGTAACATAAACGTATCAACACTTGTATCAATGGCATGTTTATTTTTCAGTCTAACAGATAATCACAAGAAAAGGCAGACGTGGAATTAAAGGTAAACTGATAAAACAATTGATTAAAAAAACATGCGACAGTAAATTAACGACCAATTAACTGATAAAATGATAATTCTAGTATATAATTGTCGTTCCATACATTAAAACTGTATTTACTTATTGTAACGTAATTTCGCGCACACGTGTAATAAATTAAGTATCGTTTAATAAATCTTGTTAGACCAATAATAATATATCATTAATAAAAAAGCAAATATTGATCTTTATTAATATATTGATTTTTAATCACGAAAGATAAATAAGAATAATGTATATTTAAGATTGATTTATATAGCTTTTTTTACCGACAAATTACCGAAAAAAAGGTATAAAGCTGGATTTAATAAGAGTTGGAATTTAGGGGATCTCCACCACGTGTGGTCGTCCCCTAGTTTAATATATGACGTTTAGTACATGACGAAAAGCTTTAAAGCTACTTTACACTATCGAGACGTAGCATCAGCGTATATTGAAATTAGCAAAATTGTCGGTAGCAGTCTCAAATAACCATCGGACGTGCCAAGGGGAAAAGATGAATGTTTGTGCGTTGTGGAGGAAATAATGGAAGAAAATCACTGGTCCATTAAATAATGCTAATATATAGATGATTCTAATCGGCGTTAAACCAGCCTTTGTTTCTAACTTTTTGCGTTATACAACTAAGGAAACATAGCGTGCGATAATGTGATTTATAAGATGATTTCAGTTCCATTGCGTGTCATAGTTTATCTGCGTAAAATAATGCGTATGACGAGTAGAAGAGATTTCCTTTAAAATTTGCAGATAATTGTTTGTAAGTTTGAATTTCAGATTATTTTTATACATATATTTTTCAAGATTTTTATAATACATGCATTTTCATAATGTCCCAATGACAGACCTATATTGGTAAGTTGTATAAGAATAAGATTTCGCTGATCGCGAAAGTGGGTTGGTACAATATATTAAATCTTTTACATTATCTCATATTACGTAAATCGTTTATATAAGAGAGAACATATCACAAGCAATTTTATAAAACGCGAATAAATAGATTAAGGAATATTTTCCTATCTCGAGAAGAGACGATCGAGAAGAGAATCGTAAAATAAGTATCCTGCAGGCGAAAGCCCAATCGATTGTCACTGAATATTAATTGAATTTTCTTGTACCTTCGAGATATAAAAGAGGTCAAAAGTCGATTATTTTGAATAGACTATTACTTTTTAATAACCTTGTGTTTTTTTTCCACCCTTTCTCAAATAAGTACTGCAGATTGTATCTGTACGTAACTTTTTTGTGTATTATAAAATTGTATTTTTATGAAAAAATATTTATGTTCCCGCGATTCGTTTATACAGAAATATATAAAAATGTATACATCGTGCGTTTTTCTATATCTGGAATTTGTTAGTTTGAAATAACAACAAGCGTATATTTTTGTTTCTTGTAATTTTAACATGAAATTTTACCTTTCAGCCAAGCTATCTCATTCAAACCGTTTATGAAATTTTTTCACATCGACATTTTTCTTAATTGACTTTGATCACTTTTTACTATCAATCTGTCAATTATCTGAATTATCTGGACCATCGCAACATCAATTAAGTTGGATCATATTTATTTTCAATCTGAGCTAATTGCCTTTTGCTTAGCCGAGCGTTATTTATCGACTTCGAAAACTTAATTTTCTCCAAAACAAGCGATAGAGAAAAATTATTAGATTATTAGAAAAAAATTAAATTAATTATTTGAAAATGATAAGTAATAAATATACCTAATAAATAATTATGTTTAAACGCTAACACGTTTTTGACAAGTGCTATTATCTGAATATCTTTTGATATTTTTGGTTTGTCATTAGTATTAAAGTTACAAAAGTTGATAATGGTATGCAAAATAATATATTAATAATATGATGTGTACATGCAAATATGTTTAATACGTAAATAATTTAAATTTCCGGTAACAAACAAATGTTTCACATTTGCATTTCAAAGAAACAGCATAGTTTTCATTTCTTTGTAAACAGAATCCTCTGTTGACATACTTATTTGTTTTTATAATTAACTCTCAAAATAAACGAAAGCAATGTTGTTGATATATTGTTGTTGGTACTGATAAAAGTTGTTGTACGTTTTATATCGTTTCTTTTCACGTGTTTTTTTTTTCTACATGCTATTGATATAGATAATTTGTAATAAAATGCCGTGCGTCAATTATCAACTCTGTCTCGATGAGTTAGCCGATTTTTTCCAGGTTCGCTGCCCCGATAACGATAATCGCAACATTCAAGAATCAAGCACATATAAGCGTTGATAAGGGAATCTATACATAATGACGTCACTTGGGTTAAAGTGCGGGTCAGCACGTGATCGATTAGCTATACTATATTGCGAAATAATTATTCTCTCACGACTTTTTCCGTATTGAGCAATACATGACAGTAATTATACACGCGAACAATTATGAATACAAGCTTGAAAAAGACATCACTTAAACGATCGACTAAATAAATTTGCATTTCATATGAATTTAATAGTAATATATGCATCGGAATTAAATGCATAATGTGCAAATTGTAAACACTGATTAACACAGCTAATTACACATAGTTTTAATTCTTTGAAATCATATGTGTTAGTGTTTTTACATCTCAGTAATTCTAACATTTGGATCATATTTGAGTCCATTTCACTTGTACAAACATTTTTATTGTTAACAGAACTCTTATTACATTAAAAAAAAATAATACTAATTAGTGTTTATATAGTTACAGTGGAAATATAATTTTTTTTATATTCTATAACTGTAGCGTTATTAATTTTAATGAAAAGAAAAATAGGTTGCCTTTTGTATAGCACTATTAATATATTTATATTAATGCGTTTTCTTTCTTGAAGTCAGAAAATCCTTCTGAGAAATTTCTATGATGGATATCGATATGTTGAATTTGATTGACACGCTTTAGCTGCTATCACGTCGATAGCACGTTTCAGGTATCTTATAGGTATCTTTTCATCTTTTGAAAGTCGACTCAAGTACATCTCGAGAATCTCGAGCAAACAAGCTACGATCTAATATAAATACAATAAAACGGCGAATATAAATTTTTCATCGATACTGTTTCTTCGACTTGCAGAGTCGATCCATTCGGTGGCATCAATCATTATCGTAACAGTGTAAAATTATTAATATTAATGTATTATTTATATAACATTATAAATTTTCCATTATATTCATGTTAATCAATGCAGAACTGTCATTATTTATTAATTAATATGATAATATATTGTAATATTTAATTTTTGTACAATGAAATATAATGTCATCATTAATTTTTGTATAATGAAATATTGCGTATTATTAATTACTATAATTATGATATCACACATAAATAAAAAAAATAATATACGAGAGAATAAAATAGAAGAGAATAACTGAAATACGAATGAAATAAACTGAAGTAAGCGATTAAGCAATAAGCATATAATTATGCCACGTGAATATTTTATAAAAACGCTACTTGTGCACGCATTCTCGGAGCTCCATCGACGACTGCATTGCTCGCGGTGGCCGAAGAAATTCGCCACCACGACGATGAGCACAATGAGGGAGGATGCACTTTCGGCTGTAAACGTCAGACCTCGGTGGTCCTCATGCCGCGGCTTCCCGAGTAAATAAATAAACACGCGTGGGCGGACGAGAATGTGTGTATTCAATTGGAGCCGTATTTCTATCCTTCCCTTCTCTTCTCTCTATATTCACTCATTAACACGCACGTGCACACACCACGTTGCACCACGCAACACGTCTACGCAACGTCTACGCACCGCGGTGTACGCCGGTGAACTGTTTACCATCGGGTGACAGCCAGATGATAACTTCCGATCGCGCTCTCCTCTTGGCACTTCGGTACCAGTAAGCGACCAGCAATCGCGGCCAGTCGGAGCACAAGCAGTTGGTGGCTGACAGCAGCGCGGAGACAGTCATCCGGTGATTCTGATAAGGAAACTCCGCCCAGATAGTGTGCCCAGATATGCTCCAGAATCCGGTCAGATTGCCCCACGGAGAGGGGAATGATTTTGTCATTACGAAATTCGTGATGATGACAGAACAAAGGGGGTCGTCAGTTCGTCCGAGGACCGGTATTTGTCGTCGATTTTTATATAAATATATTTGTTAACAAGAAATTGATTTGTTCGGTTGCTGAAGGTACGATTCCTCGATTTTTTTTAAGTAGCGTTGAATGTAGAAATTGCACATGTTCAATGGAGAAGTTGATTCTTCAGTTTGATGTCGCGTATCACTAATAAACGTCAAGATTCAAAGGAGAGCAAAAGAAGTAAATAAAATAAATAAAATCGATTGTTATACATATAAGTAGTGATTTAAAAAAATGACTCATATATAATTGTCAAATTGTTCTAAATTCAATTACTGAACTTCAATAACTTCTTAAAATTAAACAGTGTGAAAGAGATAACACTACATTGTATGCATGTTTCAATGGTTGCAGCACATTATGGTTTCAGATAAGCCAGAAAACTAAACAAAAATTCTTCATATATGTATATTCTGTTTTTCAATTTTCAATATCGTATTTTTGCTAAATGTTTTATCAAAATATTTATATTATACACTTTATATAATATATATAAATATTATAAATTGTATATTAACTTCGTAAAAATAATATAATAAAAAATGAGATAAGAAATAATACACTGATTATGTATGAATTAATTTGTAAAATAATTATCTTGGCAATATTGAAAACAAAATATGGAGATTGCACAACATAAAAATATTATCTTCCTTCTTTTTCTTGTTATTCCAAGTTAATTTTGCTAATGACAATTTTAATTGATCATCTGATATCGTGTATCTGATAATCATGCATCATCGATTGCACATCAGTCTGAATTATTGCACAATGATTTATGCACATTTTTTTATATACATCACACTTACAAATGACCGGCGCGGCGCATTGAAAATGTTATAATACGATAATTAGTTTGACGTGCAACGTCGTTGCTTTGTATTTACTAGCATACACGTGGACATAGCCCAGTCAGAAGTTCTGCATAATGATTAGCTTAGAAGAAGGGAGAGATTTGCATATATTATACCGTGCATTACATGCATCATACTCTTTTTACTTCTTATTTATGTTAATTATTTTCTTTAAAAGGCAACACATGTGTTTGTCGATAATATCTTCATGTTTCATTATTTTACTTTTACATAACCAACAATAGTGAATATTATTTTTTGCGTGTCTTTTATTAGTGGATATAATAAAAGACTGAAATAACTTTACATCTGAAAATATAAATATTTAAAATTTCATAGAAGAATTAGTAAAATTAGTACTACAAACTCGTTATGTAATATGCAACAAAATCTATTAAAATTCATAGAAATGTTTCCTTAAATGCAATGTATTGTCATTTGCAACAAACATAATTTGTAAAATTAAAAAAAAAATTATGCAATAATATTCAAGCAATTATTTCCGATAGCAAAGGGTCTTAATTAGCATACTGTAGCGCGTAATATACAGAGATGAGGGAAATAGCAGAATATGTCATAAATCATTAATTGTGCAAACGTCCATTGCGTGCTGTATTTGTAGCGAGCCCACGAGAGAGTACGATCAATTCGTGTAATTATCAATTCGTATAATTATGCATTATATATCTAAGGATCACTTTATGGGCCTCTATGTGTTTACGACTCCAATTAATCAGCAATTATGCGCAATTACTTTTTAATACCTATATAATTAAATTATTATAAGATATGTTTGTACACATAGACAAAGCATGTATTAACAAAATTACTAAAAAAATTATTATGGAAGAAAAAAATTTTTTTAAATTTATTTAAATTATTTTCACACATCTTATGCACTCAATACAAACGTCCAAAGTTTTTTTATTGCATATCTGCACGTGTATCTATGCATGCGTATGACTCTGATTTTTAATATATAATAACAAATAATAATTTTCAAATTTTGAAAAGAATTCTTAGGATTTTTATATAGGTATAATGTTATTTTATAAACACACACTTAAGATTTCGATATAACAATAAATATATACAATAAAAGTAAATCTATTGTGAAGGAGAATCGGTTTGTTGAGAATCATTTTCCAATTATATTTTTTTACCATCTTTTTATTATGCAATCACTCGTTTCCCTTTTATGTAAATCCTGAAATTTCTGTCTTTACCCGCATTTTTACGATGACAAGTAAACCACTAAAAACCAGAGATAGCTAGTTAATACCAATTCGAGGATAATACAAACCTAATTAAACGCAGATGCTTTTTCACAGCAAATAAAAAAATGATATATTCGTGATCGGAATATGGCGTATTATTGCCATGTGTTTCATTATCAGAGATTATATGATAGCCGCAGAAACGTGTTTGTCGCATGAAGGAACAATTCGTTATCACTTTCGCGATGCTCGATGAGAGACACGAGAGACATGCTGTCTAGCAGAGAATTAAATAATGCCGTTGCAAACTTTCGTATGCACAGTATTGTTGGGCAACATATAATGTATTTCAGAATTTAAATATACCTTTCCTCTAACTAATAAAAAATGTCATATTTTTTTTAGATTCTTAAATTCTGTTATCTAAAAAATACCAGTAGGTACTAGTTACTAGTATCATATTATTTATATATATATATATATATCCAATTAACGGAATCCGCAAACAACATCCAAACTATCTACTATGTTGTTTATATTTTTATTCAATCATTTATTTGTATGCGTGTAAGGAAAACTATCTATTACTAAAAACGGTAACAATTGCAGAATGCTCTCGTATCATTTAATGAAAAAATTTGATGAATATTTTTATAGCGAAAAATTGAAAAGAATTTCTCATAGAGAATATTTGATCAAAAATTTAATCCTTTATGTTTTAAAAACTTTAATTTTTAAAATTAGATATAAAATGTATTATAAATATACATTAATATAAATATAAACAGAATTTTTTAATAAATTATAAAATATATTTTTCCTCTCAGTTAAAAAAATAATTATTAAATAAACCGACTTAAAATACGATTTTCAATTTTATTCGTATTTAATTCAGGAAAATCCCTTAAATATATAATATGTTAAATGTCATTGGGCAAAATTCTTCCATAAATGTAATTCGAGATGTAATCAGAAAATCCTTTTAGAAATTTTTATTAGGGAAAAATGAACTCTATTCACCATGACTTTTGTGATATGCATGAGAAAGTTATCATTCTTTTACAACTAACACGTGCCTCTCGCGTTAAACCGCTCTCAATTAACGTCTGTTTGTAAGCACTGTAAGTCTTTTTAAAGTCAATCAGTACGCACTTAAGACTCGTAAATAGTGTTTCGTGGCATTGACAGCTCGTCATTTTCCTCGTTACTTCTTAGCTCGGCACCTATTGTCTGACGATAAATTAGATAGTACAAAACCAGCATATGTACGTTAATTGCATGTGAGCCCAATTTAACGTGTATATCTCGTGCGAACACGTGATTAAATGATAACGTCTAATCCTCGTCCCGTTATAATAAGACACATAAGACGATCAGCTGACAGATCTTTCAGCAATTGCCGAGTGACTCATAATATGTGTTAAATAGTTTTATGCTCTGATTAGTCATTAATTCATGAGTTATTTTTATTTCAAATAAACGTAAAACGTATATTTTTTTCTCTCCATGCAGCAATTATAGAAAAGATTATGTCTATTAAATAACTTTTATACCAACTTTATAAATGCATATTTTGAAAGGACAAATGTTTATATTGCATATCTTTGTTGTTTTATTACTCTATTTTTTAAGCAATGTAGAATCATGAATTACAATGGTTACGTCATAAATGACAAGCTGATATCTCTTGAATATTATGTTTGATAATACAATCCATATAGAATCATAATTTAGTCTGAACTATATAGTTTGGAGTAGTTTGGATTTACTTCGAGTCCCAATGATGTATCATCGATAATTTAATATTATACAGTTCTGTTTCTCAATAAATTTAATCTATTACTCAATATATTTGATCTCTTTAGTAAATAAAATATCAAATATATTACAATATTGCTTATTGACTATAATTTACTATATTCATGTTCAAATAGCATGCAATAATGAAGAGTTTTTGCAATACCGTATTTCAAATATGCTGAAATTCTGCTCGAATTGTTGAAATTTACAGTATACAGATGCGTGTATTGTCATCGCAATTTATAATATATATTATCATTCATATTAGACACGTCATTTAACACGACATGAGCATTTATTTGAAATACGTTATTGCGAGAGTCTTTAACATATTTGCTATATATATATATATATATATATATGTGTGTGTGTGTGTGTGTGTGTGTGTGTGCTTACCTCCTGATTTACTGGCAGTCTTGAATGCACCCTGTTACTTCCTTTCCTTCACTTTGATGATGTTCTATATCAAAGTGTCCGCATAACCACAGGAAGTAACACTTTGTACGCGCGAATAAAATCGATGACTGGATTTTGATCACCACCGAGGAGAGAGTTTCGATGTTCTCTTAATTAAGATCTCCTGTGAAATCCTCTCGTGCGCGACATCTCAAAGATTGCATGCTGAAAAATATTGAAAAAGTTGGAGAACGTAAGTTTTTCATTTGCAACAAATTTACTTGTTACTTTCTTGAAAATGAAAGAACAGAAAATTAAATATAAGAGAGAAGGGGGATCAAATTAAACTATCTGTAAAAAATTATTTACAGAGATGGAATGAAATGTTCCGCTCG